GTGCGAGGACAAGGCTCCAGTGCAAATGGTTTGATGTCTAAGTCCAATGTTGTAGTTTGTCCTTAAAAATTTGAACATTTACTACTTTTGTATGAATGAGTCTATTTGAAATGACAAAATGAACAAAGCTTGAAAGAAAATTAGAAAGGCAACGTGCTGTAGCTTACTTTGAAAGTATTTGTGGTCATAATGGCCTTATTTTCATGTGTTGTCATAATGGCTATAATTACGTTTGATTAAATACTTGACGATCCCAATTTTTCATATTGAAAGTTCTCTCTATCCATATCACAACAACTCCCCAAGGCAGTGGAGCCCAAGGAAATGGGGTGTCAGTATTTCAATAGGTTGAGTTCAACTATCACCATAGGAAGGAAGTGGCAGGCCCTTGGATAAAATTTGGGACACACTCTCTATGAACAGAAATGAGAATCAGAAGGTCAGGAAGGATCAAGGGAGCCCACTTTTCCTGGTCACTCAGAAACCCTGGGCAAATCTTGTCTTTGCTGATGAATGCTGCCTACAAGACAGTTAACTGCCAGCGCGAGGTGAGTTTTTAATGGGCAGGTTTTTATGCAAGGTGAGTTATGCTTCTTGATGCATGAGGGTGCCCAGCTCACTAATGCAGGCTCGGAGACCAGGAGTCCACGAGCAATTTGTTCAAAGAAATAAAGCCTATTCGTCTTGCCGGGATTCACCGACCAGATGATGTAATCTGTGCCTTTCTTTGTGTACAGGGATGTCCCTAAAGAGGCAATCAAACACTGCACCAGCCCGGCTAGGGATAATGAGGCCACCGCCTGAGCCTTGATTATACCGCAGGCAGGCGTTCAATGCGGGGGCGGGGGGGGGGTGGGGGGGGGGGGGGTGGAGAGAAAGGCAAACGGAGAAGCTTCCCTCTTTCTAAGGACGTTCCATACGTTTCAGAAACTCGCGCCCTTAAAGGAACTATTTATTATAAGACTGAGAAACAGTCCTATGAACAGAAGGTGCTGGAATGTTTGGACTTTGGAGGTAGTTCCACTTTTCTATTAGAGAGCAAGGTTACTGTGAAAAAAACGGAATTCTACGTACTTCCTTCTTAATGAATTTCAAAGGCTTTAAGGAGACACAGAAGAAAGATCCTTATTGGTCATTTCTTGGACCCTAAGAGTCAGTATCCAGAGGAGAAAGACCCTCACGCACTGGCAACTCTGTTCTCCGAGGGCCCGTTCCCCACAATGGAAGGTCGTCCGTTTTGCTACACAGCAAAACGTCCCCCTCTCCTCCCACGGTCAGTTCCAACGGGATTTGGGCTGAAATAAATATATATCTTAAGAATATTTGCTCTCTCTCTCGGGACTATGGTACACCATTTTTTTAAAAAATGTTTTCCTTTACATTTCTCATTAAGATGACTAATCAATTAAATGTTTGTGATTTCTTTTCCTCTGAGACCACAGTACCGCTTAACATCGATGACACGCTCTTCTTTTAGGGGACTGATCCCCCCAGTGTTTAGTACTTTGCACTGCTCTTCTCATAACTTTCCACTCTGCTCCCTCATTCTTGTTCCTTTCCCCACAGGAGCCCCGGCAAACGCTGGGATCCCGAGAGAGCTTCTCTCTCTTTACACTCTCTCTTCATGATCCCACACTCTGTAGGGAACCTGAGGACTATCATCTAACCGGGACCTCTTTCCAGGATGCTTGTCCAGCTACCTTTGCATTCAGACCTTGCCGGACAGCAGCGTCCCCTGCCCTGGAGCCACCGTGCAGTTGACCCTCCTGTCCCTTATCTCTCATCTGTTCTCTGTCCAGCAGTTTAGAGCTTTCCAGTGAGCTCACATCAGCCAAGCTGCACCCAAACCTCCAGAAGAGTACACCTCTCGTCCTCCTATAAATATTGGTATTTTAACAAGGAACTCTGCTCCCTCAGTAGGCCCCACTCTTCATGAAAGGAATACCGTCTATGAACTAAGAGCTGTAGGCAGGCAGGGACAGACGTATGTGGGTGCTGATAATATTTCCGTCACAGCACGCAGAAGCTTTCTATCAGTCGGGCCAATCAGGACATGAAACTGTTTATTAATTTCAATAGGAGAGTTTAATATAAAGAATTATTAAGTATAATAGAGGATCGGAGTAACAAGGGATTGGTTAATAAGAAATTAAGTCTAGAGAACATAGTAACAGCAGATACAAGGTGCTGAGACTATTCCCAGAGCCAAGAATCAGCACCCAAGGAAGAAGTCCCCCACTCCCAACCCCTCCAAACACATATACAGCTGAGGTCCAGATCTGGTTGGACAGGGCATGGCCCTTATTTATTTTGGGGTGGCAAAATGTTTGTTAAACCAAGCTCTTAAATTATATCTACCTACATTCTGTAAACACATACAGCACACATGTGAGTGAAAGGCTCTTAGATCAGAACAAGTGGAAAAACTAAAGATCCATTTCTACACGGGCACCTCCTCACTCTCTGGGCTGATGCTGTGTTATAATTGAGAGTTAACTGAAAACCAGAAGGAGCTCAGCTCAACTCCACCTGCTAGCACGCGTTTTAAGACTCACATTCGTTCCACATTACGGTCGGTTGGATTACAACAAGGCAGCAGTCTACTTTTTACATTCACAGACGGGCTGAAACAGTACAAACTAAACTTCCCTTCTTGATGTGTCCCTCCCTGTTACCATCATTAGTAAGAAATGTGATGACAGAGAAGTGACGGACCACAGGTAGTTACAAGAATAGGTAACTCATAGAATAATAAATACCTGCAGTAAGCAGGGCACAGTCTTACAAAATTTATTTTATAAGAACTTGCTGGAAATCCAACCTCCAGCACTTTCTGGAAATGCATGTCCTTTCAGGTGCCAGAGGAAGCTGTTCGCTGGCAGGTGTCCCCCTGGAAGGCATTCTCTGACACTGCCTGAGGGGTGGCCCAGGGCCGCTGCTGGCCGCTGGGTGCTGTGGACCACGGTGACTTGTGGGAGGCAGAAGCTGGGGAGGCCACCTGCGCTCCCGGAGCTGCTTACTGAAGCACCCTCCTGTAACTGGGAGGGAGGCTCCTTCTTATAATGTCACTCCAGTGCCCTCTACTGACAAAGCTGAACATCCGGCCAGTCCAGGCAAAGGGAAAATATTTAAAGGACCCCACTGTATTTTCATAGAGCAGCCAAAAAGGATGAATGAGGAGCTGAGAGGCCACAAGTTAGTACTTCGCACAGGTATGTTTATACAAGTCCTCATGCAAGTAGACAGGGGACTTCAGTTATGAGGGGACCTTAGGGGACCTATACAGTAGGACATTGTATTTGCATCCTGTCAATTATTTTCATCCATTGTGAGGGCAGAGATTTCCCCCCCCCCCACCCAAATTTATGAATTCTGGTGCTTGGCAGCAATTTCCATGGTCTGCTTTCAGGACTGCTCATTAGAGGAGTGAGTGTAACAGTCTGGCACACCGGCTCAGTGGCTGAACAAACCCTGGAGCGGACTGCTTAGGTCTGAATGTGATTCTGCCACTTACTGGCAGTAGGACCTTGAGCAATTATTTCCTCTCCTTGGTGCCTCAGTTTCCCCATCTGTGTAATGGGAACAATAGTACCTAACTCATTGACTTATAGTGACACTTAAATAAGCTAATACAGAAATCTCCCACTTAATAGCTGTAATCCCTTTATGAAAAATCAGATTTCTGCAGGAACACCTGGGGCCTCTGTTGTTTTTTTAAGAAGAAAAACTTGAATGTGTAACAAATCAACCAACCTTACCCCTCCGAGCAATTTCTTAAATTGCAACTAAACAGAGTAAATCCCTTGACATAAAGCATCATATTACATCGTCAAATGCTCAGAACATCACTGCTGATCAACACAATCTTAACACTTAGTGTTTCATATGTAGGACATCTTACTTTCCTCTATAATCATTTCTCTCTCTCACTTTGCTTCTTCTCTACAATTTTTTTTTCAATGCTTTCCCAACTTTGTTTTGAACTCTATAACACCAGGCAAAAACAAGAGCTAAAGGGGAAAGTCCGCAGGACACGGGTTCAGGACCAGCGGGCACCGGCAGGTAAAGGTTTACACCGAGCAGCATGGTGAGGTCACCAGCGCTGTCCTAATCGTCCCACTCCTCAGCTGTGCTCCTTGTTGCCAGCAATTCCAGTTTTCAAAAGGTTTAGGCTGGAATTTGATATTTTACCAATTGTATTTGAAATGGATTTTTTTTCCTACACACGGTTTTGTTTGAAAATGCATTGAATTTGTGGGTGGGGGTGTGTGACTATTTTTTCCTGATATAAACAACTGAATGTGCCCAGTTGAGAGGTTCCTACGGGTATCAGAAACCAAGAAACTCTCTACCGCTAAAACTGGAAGCTTTTGGCTAGTGTTTAGAGTATGCCTGACCTAGAGAACGCGATGTAAGGGTTTGTTGTCTTATCCGTCTGACTCAGTAATCGTATCAATTGATTCATTCATTCATTGATTCAAACCTTTCTTCTTTCCAAAAAAAAATTTGGGGGGTGGGGCCCTCCTAATACAGGGCAGGCCCCATTGTTAGCCCTGGGGTTGGGGTGGGGGGCGAAATGGTGAATGAGATATGGTTCCTACTTTCAAGGAGCCGACAATTTAGGGGGAAAAAGAGGCGCCGACGGTGGTAGCTGCTTGGAGGGCGTGCGGGGCTACTACAGCAGTGACAAGCTGACCTTCGGGAGAAGCTGGCCGGGGAGGGAGGCGGAGCGCCTGCGGGGAAGGGATCCGCGCACCCGGTTTACGCCCCGCGGTCGGGAGCCGAGCGAGAAGGGTCGGGCTGGATGCCTTAGCACACGCGACCTAGGGGGAAGACAGCGGGATTCTATTTGCTTTCCAACTGGAAGCCAGACTCCTCCCCAACCTTTTGGGGCAGCAGCCCGGAACTCCGGGCTCCAGAGCCCCGCCCCGGAACCTTAGGCCGCCGGAACTCCATGCCGAAGTTCCTTTTGTTACCACCCGACGCAACTATCCAGGGACACTTCCGCTGCAGAAACATGGCCGCGGCCGTGCAGAACTCACGTGGGGGTATGGGGAAAAAGCTGAAAAACTCCCTAAAGAAGAAGAAGAAGGTGAAAATGATAGCCAAGGCTGTAGCACCGGAGCTGGAAGACGAGAACAAAGACCCTGACGGCATTGGAGGTAACGTACGAGGGCTGAGCGTTGGCTGCCGTGCGGAAAGGCCAGGCTGAGTTTGCGGGAAGCAGGGGATGCCAGTGCATTTGCTCCGAGCACCCGAGAACTTCATCTCCGCCGGCGTCCAGGGGACGACTTTGACTGGGTGAGAAGGCTGGCGGGGAGTGGTGTTCAGGGACGGGACGCTGTCAGCTGTTCGAGCTTGCCACCTTCTTTCAACAGATGTTTTCAGGGCCATTGTCATTCGCTAAAACGGACGGAACCGCTGCTTACGGTAGCCAAAAGCGAAAGGAAGTTTTGAATTTACTACAATGGGATAGGTCTCAGGGAGCGAGGGGCAAAAGGCCAAAACAGGTAGCAGGAAGACGGATGGCGTGCTTGCCCTTTCTTACGCGGTAGGTGCGTGCAAGTGTTCAGGAGTTAGAGACCACAGAGCAATGAATGAAAGAGTAGGTGGTTAAAGTAGAATAAATAAAAGCTGTTGATAACTGTCTCTCGCAGAGACGCTCGATGTTAAAGGGAAGACGTTTTGAGGCCTTTTACCGTGCTGCGTCAGTCCTGCTTCCCCTTTATTATCATTCTTGGCACTGCTAGTTTCTTAGGTCACAGGACATTGCGCACGACCCCTGACCTCCTGCTGCTCAGGTATTGCTTTCACAGCTAGAGCTCTTGTGTCGTGTACCTCAGCTCCTCTTCTCGAGGTGATCCATTGGCCTCCCAACCCGTAATGATGTCCAGCAGCTTGTATGGTCTGGCTCAGGTCATTCCTCATCATCTGCTACTTTGGTCCTCAGTAACCACTAACTGTAATCTAGCCGTGTTGATATCCTTGTGGTTTTGCTTAACACATCAAACATGCTCCCACAGCAAGGTTTCTGCACTTGCTGGCTTCACTGCCTAGAATACTTTTCAGATGTGAGCATGGCTCTCTCTCCCTCAGTTCCTCTCATCTCTGATCCAATGGGCTATCAACAAGACTTGTCCCTGACCACCCTATCTAAGGTACCACCACTACTGTTCTCCATGCCTCTCTGCCTTCACTTTTTTGACCTATTACCTTGCTTTATTTTTTTCAGCGTTTCCCAAATCATCTGACATTTTATTATTTGCTCAGTGTCTCTCCCAGCTGGAATCTTAAGTTCCTTAAGTGTAGAGATTGATGTATTTCCAGTACTTAAAACAGTGCCCTTGCATAGTGGATCATTCACAGATGTTTATGTGAGTGAGTGAATAAACTGGAACTTCCAGGACGGAGAAGAAGAAACTGTTACATGCTGCTGCTGACCCTGTGTGCTTAGAGTCCTCATTACCTGCCAAAGGAGTTAAGGAAAACAAGCTATTTGTTGGACAGGTATTAGAACTTTTGGTTCTGAGACACACACATACATATTTTTTCTTTTTTTAACTCAATAAACTGGTTCATATGGGGTTGTCAGAGAAAGAAACACTACTACATTTGGAGAAAAATACCAGTACTGCTTACAAAAAGGGAATTTGATTTCCCTTTTCAAGTACTGGATAACTCTCAGATCGCTTTTGACTAAATATTGATTGTAGTATTATAAATACCGATTAGGTCCTAAGGTTCTCTTGCTAATATAGATCAATTACATTATGGGTTAAGAAGGCTTTTTGCTAACAAGGAAACCTCATTATCCAGTTCAGTTTGGTGAACGCTTGTTGTGTTCAGTTATATTTCAGTCCCCTACTGGGTGTTGAGGGTACAAAGGATGAGTAAATTCCTGCTTGAGAATTACAGTCTTAGGAAAGATATTAAACACAGGACTATAATACAATAAATTGAATATTATTATTAAGAGGTAGTTATAAAGGTGGAGATCAAGATCATAGTCCCATTAAAAATGATAAGGATGGAGACAGAAATCCATGTCCCGTCCAAATCCAGCCTGGCCATTGCTTGCTTCTATCTTGTACATATTATTCCTGGTAGACTCTCTTACTATTTTAACGTGCGCTCTCTCCTTGTAGACACACGTTCTCTGGCTCACTGGTGCCACACTGTTCTGGATTCCCCATTTCCTGAATATAGTCTGTTCCCTGGGCTCCTAGCAGCGCGTTTGCTGTCTGGTCACCATACTCCTTTATTTCCCCCATCACCTTCCCTTCACCAGCCTTCCTGTTTGATTTTAGGTTTGACTTAGTTGTTTCCATCTACTTTTTCTTTCAAGAGTTAGACTGTCTCTGTATAGGAATAAATAATAAAGGGCCTTCTGTTTAATATATTCAGTAATGTGGACCCATTGGTTATAAGATGGGGTATCGTCCTTCGGTTTGACTCAGGCTTTGCCATTTAATGTAGGAAATTGCTGCTTTCCTCTCACGAACTCACACATTTCTGGAAAGGTGACCCATGGAAACGGCTGTCCTAGTTCAGATATTTGTCTATATGTGGCTTTGGCAGAACTACCACATTATCAAAATTTTTCAGATAATAGATAATGAGAAACTGTAAAGGCAGAAGATTGAATTTGGCTTCAGACTTAGAAGGAGTCAGTGTGCAAATTATAGGGTTATTATATACCTGCTCATCTTATCAGTAAATTGAATCAGAGACTTGCCTTTGAATTTTAATTGGACCCTAAAAATTGATAGAGATATGCCTTATTGTATCCTTTTGAAAGTGACTTCCTTTAGCAAGATGTCCCTAAAGTTTCACTTAAAAACACACGTTGTTTGAACTTTATTTTTCATCTTTTGCCTTAATTTCTTCTGACAGTTGTATAAGAAAGGTAAGACATTATTCTTTTATGCGTGTAAAAGTCTTGAGTATTGTTTGTCAGACTGCAGAAATTTCCTTGTTCTGTGCGGAGAGACCTGTCAGCTTGGCAATGGCTTGTGTCTCAGAACCTGCTATATGGCGCTGAATGTCCATTCCCTCATTGGGTGGGTTGGGAACAACTCCTAATCACATGGGCCAGGGGTCATCAAGGGTAAAATTGACAGTTGTTGTGTGTAATGTAAACTGAATGATAGCACAACGATTCAGAGTGAATTTTTGGTAAATTGTAATTCTCTCCAGTAGGGTTTGAAATTTGTGTCAAAATCGTTAAGTGATCGTGAATCAGAAATACACAGGAGGTAAAATGCTACATCTAGCATTATAAGTAATAGCTGTCATGTGTTATAAGGGAGAAGATGACACAATGAGTATTTGTTTCAAGTTTGTAGCCTTTGAAATACACACATAGACACACAGCCTCCCTAGTCAGATGGTCCACAGCTGGGCTGGGGAGCAGCAAGTGCCCAGAGCCCTTAGTGACAAGGGCATCTGTACCCTTAGGTAAAATCACCGTGGGCATGAGGCCTGGCTGCTCTAGTTAATGGAGGCTTAGAGAGAAATTCCTCTTTCATTCAAGCTCTGTTAAAATATTCAATGAACAATTTCTGCATTAGCTCGGTACATATCAGTCTGAGTAGGACCTTGGAGGCAAAGCTGTGCAGTGCCCCAGAAGCCTAACAGTCTCCTGTCACTCCTCTGTTACCTTTGTGGCTTTGGGCGTGTTGCTAACTTGGCACAAAAGCTCCAGAATCATCCCCTGTGTAGATAGATAATAAAAGGAACTCATGGAGTGTTGCGAGGGTTAATGAATGTTTTAAATAGTAGCTAGCTCTTAACACGTGTTCCCTCGTTAGTATTAACATTATTTTAACCAAGACTGTGGGTACAATTACGATGGAAGTACAATTCATTTTACGCTCCCTTCTTTTTTTTTAATCCTTTTTTAAACTTTTGGGATCCTCCCTGCTCTATTTTCCAGGATCTCAGTGTCCTCGTCTGTCCTCTGGTTACTTGCTGCCATTGATTTCGTGTCTGCTGTGTGCCAGGCCTGTGCTCAGTGCTTTTCCTGTGTTGTCTCATTTAGTCATCTCAACAGCCAGTGAGGAAGCTACTGTTCTTATCCGCATTTAAAAAGTAGTGGAATGAGGATATATGCTCAGTCTCTCTGCTTTTATAATCTGAGCTCTTAGCCCCTTGATGTGACTTCCTCGTCATCTGAAGCTTCTCGTTCAGCACCTCACATCTTGCAGATTCCAGCTGCCCCTGGTATTTCTTCTGGGCTCCTTTCTTGTCCTCCACCGACCACACTAGAATTCTCACCATGCGTGTCTGCAGTAGTTCCCCTTTATCTGCGTTTCTGCTTTCTGCTGCTTCAGTTACCCGCGGCCAGCTGTGTGGCCCAAAAATATTGTGAGAGAGACCACATTCACATACATTTTATTACAGTATATTGTTATAATTGTTCTGTTTTTTTATTAGTTATTTTTGTTACTCTGTCACTGTGCCCAGTTTATAAATTAAACTTCAGAGTATATGTATCATAGTTCATGTATCATAGGTGTGTACATACAGGAAAAAACATAGTGTGTAGTGTGTGTAGGGTTCGGTATTATCCACGGTTTCAGGCATCTACTGGGGGGTCTTGGAATGCATCCCCCACGGATAAGAGGTGCGGCTGCCGTGTGTGACTGGTGTGTAATCAATACTTAAATGTTTACAATGGATAGACTAGGCACTCTTAAGAACGTGTGTGTGTGTGTGTGTGTACTCATTTAATTATCACAGAACCCTAGTGAGGTAGATACTATTTTATTGCCGTTTCCACAGATTGGGAAACTAAAGCACAGAACGTCAAATCTTCAGAAAAGTCACGTAGGTTTGAGTCTGGAATTGAGATTGAATCCAGGCAGCCTAACATCCCTTTCTTCTTAAGCACTGCTGTGATCACGATTAGACTTCTGTAAGGACTTCTACCTGCCTTAGACTAACTTTGGAAGGTGTGAGTAGGCTTAAGGTATTGGCGTTTCCCAAGGACAACCTGCAGGACCGAGCAGAGAGGAGGTTGGGAGCGCAGACCAGAGGTGAGGCCCTGGAGGAAGAGCTCTGGCTGCCTGGCCTTGGACCAGCTGCAAGGGCGCGGCTGGAATGCAGAGCTGGGTTTTAGCTCGGGGTTAACGTAGATTATTTTTCCCAGATCACACTTCATTTCTCAGACCAGCTGTTGTATACATGCCTTACCATCCAGTCCCCAAACCTCCCTTTTCAGCCAGTGTGAAATTCCTGTCATTGTCTAAGAATCATACCTTCAACATCCTCATGCCTTCGGACATGCTGGTTGTTCTTCTGCCTGGGATGCCGGTAACGATCGTTGCAGTGACCGTTTTAATTTCCGTACAGAGGATAGGTTCCCAGCTAGGACGTGTCGGGTTCTGCATTTAGGGACCCTGCCCCTCCTGGTAGGCCGGTAGTGTGGGATCTTACTTGTTTGGCCTCTCCCTTCTCTTGTCATTCAAATCTTTGCTTTGCCCTTTAAGAAGAACTCAAGTGTCAGCTTTGTAGAAGAAAATAACCTCCCAAGCAGCCACTCCTTTTTCATTGCTTTTCTTTCAGAAGAGCACTTACAAATTTTTGTGGAAGTTAATTGATTTATCTACGCCCCCAAATGTGTCATTCCATCCGGGACAGAAGTCCAGAGGAAGAGTTTCCATTTCTCTGTCCTTCCATGTCATTCCTGGGTACTCAGTAAATAGTCCTGAGGGACTGTGAGTCTTCATACAACTTCATCCCAACTCCAAAGGCTCAGGGCGGTGGCTCCTGCTCCCGCCAGCTGCAGACACCAGCTGGGATCAGGGACAGGTGGGAGGCTGGGAGGGGAGCTGGACGTGTGAGGAAAGGGCAGCAGGAGAGGAGGTGCCTGCGTCGCCCTCGTACCGCAGAGCGCTGCCCTGCCCGGCATGCGCGCCGCTGGCCGCGTGTAGCTGTGTGAATTTAAAGTAGGTCAAATGAAATAAGATACAAAGTGCAGGTCCTCATTGTACGAGCCACAGTGGAAGCCCTCAGCAGGCTGCGGTGGCTGGTGGTGGCTCTGATGGCAGATCCTTTCCGGGAGCACAGGAAGGTCTGTTGGAACCGTTAGTGATCACTTCCTGTACGCACTCTGGGCAGCCCACCCTCATTTCCAGAGTTCTAAGGTGGGATGCAAGATTGGAGTTAGTGTCTAAAATGGCACACAGGACTTCAAAGGGATTTTTTATACTTCTCTGGTTCCCTCAGACCTGTGGCTATATCAGTCCACTTACCTTCTGTTATGAAAGATCAGTTAGTAGAAAATGCAAAAAAATCTCATCTTTATAGGATGCAGTAAATTTTGAAGAACAAGTTCTGCTTTTTGATTTGCATTGTGATTAACTTTGATGTCCTAGAAGTAAAATCTGTTTTTTAGTGTGCTGGAAGACCTCATTAACTTGACATTTCTAATTTATTTATATAAAAAGCATCATTTCCATTTGCAGTGAATGCCTGGCCAAAAACTTCTGAGCTAAGGCTTCTTTTAAAAAAATAAAAATAAAAACTATGACTTTAGCAAATTCATCTGGAATTGTTTCTTAGTTGGTGGGGTGAGTGCTGATTCATAAAAGGTTGTTACAGACCTTTTCATGGATTTATTGTTTCCATAATTGCATGTTGTGGTACTCAAGCTGGTTAAGAAACACACACACACACACACACACACACACAAAATGCCGGAGTTTAGAGGCAGATTGTGGGAGTGGCTTACACAGTCCTCAAGTCCGCGGATGCCTGTGCCGATGCAGCGGAAAACCGGGACGGGCTGCAGTTCGTGTCGGAATCCGCCAGGACCAAACACTAGGTGGCAGTGTTGCAGTTCTGACAGTTTACCAGCCGCCGGCACAGAGACTCCTGCTTCCGGTCAGGCCGGCGCTCCTCACGGACAGACTTTGGACAGACTTTTAATCGCGCCTCTTTGCGCTTAGAGACGCGCGGCCTAGAAGACGTGCTCTGCAAAGAGTCGCGAGTCTGGCCCTCGGTGCCTCTGCAGAGCTGCGACCCTGTGGAGTGCCACGTGGCCGCTGTTCCCTTCCCGCTGACTGCCCGCCCGGGGCTTTGTTTCGCGATGTGCTTTCCCGGGGGCACCGGTCACAGGAAGATGCTTCGGGGGGAAACCGTGTGACTCTGGAATCTGGCGTGTGGTAGACACACAAACATCTAATTGAGTGCTCGTGCTGTCAGCCTCCGTTTGGCAAAATTTACTTATTGTTTAATATCATGGGATAATACAGTTCTTACATCACCTGTATTTGCACGTCGAAGTCTAGAGTCATGTGTCTTCCGGTTTCTGAAATTCACCTGTCATACAGGATACAGAGAGATGGTTCAAATTAAATAAATGCGCACGTGGCAAGTGAATTTAAAAAATTCTTTTTCCTTATTAAGAAATATGCAACACATTAGGGCAGTAGAATTATTTGCAATTTTTTTGCTTTTATCATTTCTTTTAATGTTTTTTGATCCCATTGACACACTTCATGGTTTAAGATGGCGCTTTTTAAAAATTTATTTTGCTTCCTGTGTTTAACTCAAGTTTATGTCATGTTGTTACTTTTTGAAGAACCGTCTTTATTTTTGCCCATAAGTTTGAGTTGCATTTTTATGTTTTATTGGCTGTTTTCTAATGTTACGCATTTTTGAAATATATTAAATATTTAGTTTTTGCATCCTTTCCCTTCATGAATTCTCAGCACTGAAAAAAATTACTTTTGTGGAAAATACCAACATTGCGGGTGGTGCGGCGACTGGCCCAAAGCGCAGCCTCCGAGCGGCTCGGAAGTGGTGGCTTAAGGTGGCAGAGGGTTACGCGGAGGTTAACAGCTGGCAGACATTCGCTTCCTTTCACTGTGATCAAGGCAATGAGCTCCTTTCGTTTTAAACACTGAAAGGCCGTTTGAAAGCGGACCGTGCACGTGGGCTGAGATTAGAGGAAGCAGCGGGGCCTGGAGGTGAGGACGGACGGCCCAGCCGAGCTTCGGGTGGGGCTGCGGCCCCGCGCGGCAGGTGGGCTCCGCAGCGGCTCGGCCTTGGGCCGCGATGGCCTCTCTGTCCCGTGGGCTCAGGTGGTGGTTCTGCCTGGACGGGAGGACGTCAGAATCGGATTAAATAGGGAGCCGGAGGAGCCTTGTTTATGCTTAGGCCTCTCTTTAAGTAAGTCATCATGTAAAACGTTACTTAAGATACTCTTGCCGTTATTTAATAGAGATGCTTTCAAAGAAAGCGGCAAGGAATGGCATTTTTGGTGACTTTTGAGACTCGCTGGGTCAGGATTGGATGGCGGGGAGCGCGTTCCGCAGGGGCGGCGCCGCGGAGCTGTGCTCGCCCCTCTCCGCCGCCTCCGTTCCCTCTTCCGTGTGCGAGGACCGTCCCGGGCCGCTCGGCCGCAGGATGCCCTTCTCCTTTGCCGTGTTCCCTGGTGCGGCCCCTGGGCTCCTCGGAGCAGACCGGCCCTGCGGCCGCCGCCGCCTGCGCGCTGTGCGAGGGCGGTTGGCCTCTGGCCCTGCGAGGCCTCAGAGCTCCAGGCGCCCGCGTCCCAGCAAGTTCGCCTTCGGGCGGGGCCGCCGACCGGAGTCCCTGCCGGTTCCCAGCCCAGCCACTTGACTCTTACAGGAGGGACTACTCTGTGGTCGCCTGGATGTGTGGTGGGGTGGGTGCAGTCACTGTGTCTTCAACTCCGAGCCGGGCGGTGGTCTCTAGCCGCTCAGCCGTGCGACTGAATCTTCGTGTCTTGGGTACATGTCTCTTTGTTAGATTACTTTTCAAAAATGTTAAAATGCCCAGCTGTAAAGTTATTTACAAATTCTATGAAAGGAAGCTGTGTTTTTAGCCTTTTCTGCATGTACATTTAGAATGTTAAGTATTTGGCCAAATCCCTCAGGGAAGCTGTCTGGCTTCTCCGTACCACGGAACCACGGCACCGTTTTCTTGGTCAAGTGGCTTGTTATCTGTTCATAAAATAACCGTCATTCACCTCTTCAGTTGACCAGTGCACAGTGAAGGGCAGGGGGTTGAAGGCCTCTGCACTGGCCCCGTGCCAGCCTCTGTCCCCCTCACGCCACCCCCCCAGCAGGGTGGGCGTGCGGGTGGGGTTTGGTTTTTGCTGCCGGGGTCCTGGGAGTGGAGGTCCCTGCGTCCTCCCCCGTCGGCTCGGCCGGGCTGGATCTCTGGGGGCTGGCGACACGGGCAGAAGGGCCCGCTGTCACTGCGCCTGCCGTCCTTGGAGAGGCCCCTGTTGCGGGAAGGGAGGCCGGTGGAGGACTGCTCAGGGCCCTGGGCTGGCGCTGGCCGTGGCGCTGGCTGTGGCCGTGGCCGCGGCCGCCTCGGCCTCTGGCGTTAGGGTCCGTTGTTTCTTCTCCCAGGCTCCCCAGGCAGGCGCGGATCTGATGAGGAAGCGGTGGAGGCTGACAATGAGGATGAAGTCGACCCCCGGGACAGTGACAGCGAAGGCGCTGCAGACGCCCGCGTGGGCGCCAACGCGGGCTGGGCAGACGCCATGGCCAAGGTCCTGAACAAGAAGACGCCTGCGAGCAAGCCCACCATCCTGGTCAGAAGCCGAGAGCTGGAGAAGGAGAAGGAGCAGTTGAAGCAGGAGAGGCTGGAGAAGAGGAAGCAGGTGTGTCCCCAGCCCCGGGGGTGGGGGCCGCGCGTCCGCTCCGCCCTCCGTCCGTCTCTGTGCCCGGGGTCCCTGTGGTGCGGGCCCCATGGCCACCGCGGGGCTTAACGTTCTTCTTCCCACGGGGAAGGAGAGCGCAGGTTCTGTTCAGAGTCCCAGCCTCAACTGCCCTGGCGAATATGCTCACTTTTCAGTCACCTGTACAGAGCAGTAGAAACTAAACTCCGAGGAAATGTATCCTTTTAAAACCAGGTAGTTACTATGTGGCCATGACCCTGTTGTTTTATTCAGTTCAGCTGTTTCTGTGCTAACTGTACCAGGTCCTGAACAAATAGCCATACCAGTTACTTTTTGCTGAAACCTATTTTATAATAGAAATCGGTGGCATCATCATGGTTAGGGATTGCTTGCCACCCTGAGCGCCCACCCCCTCACCGCCGGGGGGCCTGGAATTCTGTGCTCCTTGTGTTAAACCTCCGATGCTGGAAGGTAGAGTGACATGTCTGCCCATCGGAGCCCAAAGGCTGGACTTCAGCTTGCCTCTGTGCGTTACGAAGACAAGAAACAATAATGGGGTCCTTGTATCCTTTCCACTTGATGACGTATTTTAATGTCTGAACGATTTGGTTACTGAAATAAGTCTTGTTTTTTAATGCAAGTAAATAACTTCCTACAATTGTACCAACAGTACAAAAGTCCTGATTCCCAAGGGGCACTTCATAGGTAAAAAGGAAAGAAAGCAGATTGGAATTGGCATCCAGTCCCTTTAAGCTTGTCGTGCCCTTCTCTGTTTCAAGGTGACTTCTGTCCTTGGTTCTTGTGCTGCGAACTGAAAGGCTATCCAGAGACGGGGCTCTTCGGGCGTTGCTCTTTGAAACAGAACTTACTCTGTTATTAACTTAGAGTCTCATTGAACTGTACGATAAATCGGGTCTCTAAATCATGCCGATAACTTGAACAGAGAATCTGAATCTTGATTATCTGGCAAAACGAGAAGAGGCCCTACAAATATCAGAACACGTTGGTACCGGGTCCCCGGGTCCCAGGGTCCCAGGGAGAGAGCCGCCCCGGAGGCCGGGAGACCGAGCGCGCCGCCGCCCCAGGCCAGAGCAGGGCTGCAGGTGGGGCTCCCACAGAGCGCGGGGGAGCCCGTGCCCCGGCCCGCGCCTGCTGCGTTCTGGTCAGAGTCTGTGGGAGGCGACCGGTGTGCCAGATAGCAAGCACTGATTTCTGATCATAAGTATAAAAGCTCAGAGTTGAAAAATACTTTGGGATTATGCAAGTCTATTCTCCCTTGAGCACGACAGATAATTCAGAATCAACTGCTTTAAACCTAAAAGTAAGATTTTTTTTTTTTTTTTAATTCTTGGCATAATCTGATAGTGAGTTTCTTGACAGCTAAAATCGATGATCTGATTTGAGGAGGAACCTGTTCCTTTAGAAAGGAATCCGGCTAATCTTTATAGCGAGAGTAGGAATTTGGGAGCTTTGCTAGACGCTTTTGTTCCTAGGAGCCAGGAGAGGGGAGGGTGTGCAGGGACCTGCTCCCTGGCCCCGGCGCCTGGGTGTTGGCCGAGGTCCGTCTCTTGCTGTTTGGTGACGTGTGGAGCTGGGAAGGGGGTCTGGAGCGGTTTTATCACCCTGGGTGCCTGGGGCGCGGGGACCCCTTGGGGACCCTTTTGAATTCGATTATTTCGTCTGCGGTTTTCCTGTTTCCTGGCCCCCCTTCTACTTCTGCGTGATGGCAGATCACCAGCGCACTGCGGTCTGTGACGGAGAGGCCACGTGGCCAGGTGCGCGGTCAGAGAAGGGGGCTTACATGACTCCATGAAAAGACAATCAGCCACTGTATAAATAGGATGCATCTGGATATGATGCTGTTGATTTAATAGCAGATAAAAATGCTTCCTCATTCTGACTGCTGAGGAAGTCGCTTCCTGAAAATAAAGAGAAACTGTTTAACTCAGAGTTACCACAGACGGCAGTTTGGGGGTCCCCCCGATGCTGCCCCTGAGAGCTGGTGGCGGCAGACGAGGCCTGGGGCTCTCGCGTGCCCACCCCCCACCTTGGCCTGCCTGCCAGCCCCACGTGTCCTGCCGGGCACATGCTGGCTGCCCGCCAGGCCCCTGCTGTCAGAGGGCCCCGCAGGAGCCCGCCCGCGCCTCTCCCATGACACGCCGAGTGAGAACCACAGGCTCCCCCAAAGCGTGGGGCCCGTGAAGTCCCTGTGACAGACTAAGCCAGAATGATTTATGACCCCTGTCCTTTCACAGGGTATCATATCAAAGTGGGCTGCGCTTTCAAACATGCCTAATACTCTCACCTAACACTATTTATAACACAGCTCGATAAGAAGCGGGAATGGGAAATGATGTGCAGAGTCAAGCCAGATGTGGTCGAAGACAAAGAAACGGAGAGGAACCTTCAGAGGATTGCAACGAGGTAAGACGGTGGCTTCGCCCCCGAAGACCCAAGCGCGCCAAGCTCTGAGAGCGATGCACTCCTGACTTGACGTGGTTTGTAAGCTCTGCCTGCTCAGCGCCAGGCGACTGCACTTGAGCCAGCCTGCTTAAGACGGAATTCAGCCAGAGGTTTTGTAGGTCTGGTGAGGTAAGAATACAATGTGCTAAGTGTCTGTTTGCTATGAACCTATTTCAGATCATCTTGTTTTATAGTCACAAGAACAGTGTAATCAGAATACCTACTGCTGTTTCTCTTAAGATGGCTGGCTGTGTGTCTGGCATTGGATGATTTTGCTTTGTGTAATATTTAAGGCATAACAAATTATATGAGATAGCAGCTTCATGCTATCCTTTCCTTCTGCATTTTTTTTGTCATTGGCACCAGATGGGTGTTTGAAGCCCTCTGTGTCCAGATAAATGGAATCTGGTGGCTGCTGGGTGGTCCCTGCCCACCCCTGTGGAAGGACAGGCACATCCTGTGTGTTGGGGTCACATAACAGAAGAGGCGGGGAAGGTTCATGGAGGAGACAGCTGTGGGGCTCCTACTTAAAGGGCACAGCAGTTGTATGTAGGGGAACTACTTGAGCTTCCTAGCCGCCTGCATTATTTCGGTCCTTTTCTGACCCCTCCGGGTAAGGTGCGGTGGCTAACCGTGCGGGCTGTCTCAGTGGCGGGCCAGATGGCAGGCGGGCAGAGACAGGCCTGCCCTTCGTCCGGGGGGACGCTCCCTTGTTTCCCAAGGTCGCGCACTGCGAGCACAAGGCTGAGGAGCAGCCTGGGCGCAGGGCGGTCGGGCCCCAGCTTCTTCAGACACCCGACCGGAACGTGCACGCTGGCCCGGGCCCGGGCGGGTGCTGCTGCCGCTGCCGGTGGTGGTCACAGCAGGGAGGTGGGGAGAGTGTGGCGTTCTCGAGCTGGACAGGGTGTTAGGGGTCTCCATCAGAGCCAGCCGGTGGGCACGCACCGGGGGCCACAGACGTCGTGTGAGTTCTTCTTGTGGCCATAGTGAAGAACGTAAAAGAGGTGGAATTCATTTCAACAGTATGTTTTATTTTAACCAGTGTATTCTAATGATTACTGTAGTATCTATATAAAACAACTATTAATGAGATTCCAGAGTTCATACTAAGTCTGCAAATAGACATTTTTAGAAATTGGATTTTAAAATTAGTTTTGTATGATAAGAGTTGGAGGTAGTGTAGCCTGTTCAGCTGTGTGGGTATTACTTTTCCTGTTTACAGGTGAAATAAAGACCCAGAAAACAGGCCCTCGTGTGAGGCGTCGGCCCACTGACGGCTCTGCTCTCCCTGGCGCACCGGCGGCGGGCCGTGCCTGGGCCGTCGTGCGAGCGCAGTCAGAGAGACAGACGCGGTTGGTAAAAGTAATTCTGAGGTCTAACTGGGCCAAGTTGATTTAGAAGGACCTAAGCTGAGAAAAACAGGTTACATATCAGTCCACATATATTCATTCTCTGAATAAATTCATAACCTTATTTTCATTCATTGAAACGGATGTTCATCTTTCCGAACTGTCTAACCATTCAACTGTTTCTGTTTGCGTGCCTACTAAATGCTTGCCTCTTTCCTGAGCAGTAAAAATACGTTGTTCCTGTCCTCGGAATCTGTGCTCCAGTGTGACCGTTGATTAACTTTATCGTTCTGGCCATTTTGCGATACAGGGGTGTCGTGCAGCTGTTCAATGCTGTTCAGAAGCATCAGAAGAACGTCGACGAGAAGGTTAAGGAAGCTGGCGGCTCTGTCAGGAAGCGCGCCAAGTTGATCTCCACTGTTTCCAAGAGGGACTTCATCAGCGTTCTGAGAGGGATGGACGGACGGGCAGACGAACCGGGTTCCACGGGCACGAACTCAAAAGCCAAGCAGGTGAGGCTTTCGCACAGGCCCGGTGCCTCAGGCTTTCAGCTTTGACGCTAAGGACGTGGCCGGGGCGGGGCGGGGGGACACAAAGTAGAATGATAGCTTTTTCAGATCTCACACCATGTTACATGCCCACAGCCTAATGTAATTTGGGTTCCTAAGTTTTGTGATGATTCATTCAGTACGGAAATTGCCAGTTGTGGATGTCACAGCCCTGCTGTTAGAGCTCAGCAGCCTGTAGGTTCAGATGTACTTTTCAGAGGTAGAGCCACACGGTCCCATCTAAAGTTCTGCCTGCCTTGTTTTTTGGAGACTGGAAACCTCGGGGAGGTGCACAGCTTCAGAGTGAGGTGTTTCCCCCCGAGGGCCTTGCGATGGGTGAGCCTTCTCGGACAGGGAGGAGCTGACCTTCGGGCTGTCGGGGAGCAGGACATCGGGAGCCAGGCCGCCGGCAGGTGTCTGCTTGGAGAGGAAGAACGTGAATGCTTCCCATGATCCTTGGCGAGATGGTGCTTCCCCAGCCCTTGGGACCTGTGGGCCCCAAGCGTTGCCTTTATTAGTGTCCAGGTGAAAGGGTCTGAAATGTGCTTTAATCTCAAAAGGAGTGTTTTTAAAAAAATAAGTAAAGCAAAGTACGTAGTTGTAGTTGATGGGTTGATTTTATTGCCAGCAAAAGGTACTTGAGTCAGGAAATGAGAGTTTGCTCATAGTGGGGTATTGTGCGTGTGTGTTGGGAAAACAGTTGAAACTGTTGAGAAGAGCATTTAGGAATTTCAGGCTGGGTCAAAGCGTTTTTCGAGTTCCTTGATTTTGTTGCCATTTTACCTCATCTTGACAGCTGCTTGAGGGCCTGGATGGCAGCTGACGAGGCGAGGGTGCTGGCTGGCGCTGTCGTGGGAAAGGGCCTCGTGAACCCCCAGGGGCCTGCTGGGGGTGTAACCCTCTTGGTTCAGAAGGCAGGTTGTGTCCTCGTCACTGGCGACATCCGACCGCGCTGGCTGAGAGGAGCTAGTGGGACGTGGGGAACGAAATGACCGACTCTGGCCTGGCGATCTCTCTCAGCCGCGGGGTCAGCACAGCGCCCGCCCCGCCAGCGCCCGCCCGGGCCCTCCAGTTGGTGAGCTCTGATGGAGTCGAGTTGGCTCTTTTGCGGGGAATGCCCACTGTCGGTTTCGGAGTCTTCTGGGTCCCTGTCCCCTTTCTAGAGAAGGGTCCTGCGGTCTGGCGCTGGCCTGTGCCGTGCAAGCGTGGCCTGCCTCCCGGAAGCCGGCGGGAGGGAGTGCAGTCGCGGGGCTCCCGGCGTGGGGACTGCGCTGCCCTCTGATAGGAGCGCCCTGGCCGCGCGTTACTAACGCTCTCGAGTGGCAGGCTCTGCGCACGGGTTTTGTCGATTGGGATTTGCTGTTTCATCCCGACCAGCTTTTGTTTTATGATGGAACTACAGTAACACTTTTGCAGGAAAGAAAAATGCTGGCTAATTTCTATTGGAAAGGATTTCCTTAGCAATTGCCGGGCACCAAATTGCCATGACAATCTCTAGGTTAAGTTACTGGAGGAGACTAGGCATCTCTTCATTTTTTCTGTCTTTGTGCTATGAGCTCTCTAAATGTCAGACACAAAAATAAGTTCGGGGCCTCTGTTCTTACACGTTTCTCATAAATGGCAACTGTGCAGTTTCTTCAGAAACTAGACTTCTAGAGGTGGGAGTGCTTTTGAAACACCCGGTTTCTTGGGCATCTTAGAAACTTAGAGCTGGACTTGTAAAAGTACATACCCCATTCCTGAATTCCCGCACCCACAGGCGGAAGCTAGGAATGCAGGCGCTCCTTACGCGGCCCCCAGGTGGCCCCCAGCGGGCCCCCAACAGTGCTCGGGGCTTAGCTTTTAAATGGAGCTCGGGGTGTGCAGGGCAGGCCGCGGTGGGTAGGGAAGGCTACTGTCCTTAAGTTGCCCCCACATTGCATGGCAACAGTGTTGTTACTCTCACATAAAAGCTGCTCCAACAGGAATGTGTGGAATCCTAACTTTGTAAATAATTCAGCTTAATGTTTGTTTACTGCAAATGCCTAAATAGATTAGAGTTTAGACAAAAGAGAGACTCCGAGTTTGAAATGAGAATGAGCAGGACTGTACACATCACTGCCGATGGGAACGCTTTACAGCCCGTTTCTCATTGTGGTCACTTCTTTGAAAATAGCTGTTTGGTCTTTAACGCAGGGTGGTCCCTGATCTGAACAGCAGCTGGGGCCTGGGCGAGCCTGTGTGTGGCAGGGGGCAGGGGCGGGCCCTGGCTTGTGGTGGGAACACGGACAGCTAAGAGGGAAGAGTCAGAACCAGTTACAGAGTAAGGGTAGCGACCTCTAGTTACTTTTGAAAAATAAAAAATAATGATGGTGGCCCCACGCGCCTCTGGGCCCCTCTGAAGAATCATCCTCTTGTTGATGTAGCTGTCGGTAGAGGGTTCCCATCAGTGAGGATGGGGCCCTTTCTAAAAGTGTGATGGCCCCGCAGAAAGTGGGTCTCATGCCACGTGTTAACACTTAGGGTGCACTTTTAAAATTCAGAATATTCTACTATGTCTTGCTTAAAAAAAAAACCAAACGTTTTTGAGTCCTAGGCAGTGGAGAACGTGTATGGCCTTGTCTGAGGCACCGGACCGCTGGGGTTCGACGCCCCTGGCCTGCCGTCTGGGCCCCTTACCCGGCTCAAGCCTCAGGCCTCCCCGCCGTTCCGAGGCCATCGTCCCGCGGGCAGTAACCGCCTCGCAGGCACTGGGGGCCGCGCGAGCTCACGTCCGCAGGGCCTGCGCGTCGTAAGCGCTGCGTCGCGGTTCGCAGTTATTTTTATTTTTTGTTGCATGTCATTAGAATGAGTTCTTTTCATTTAGTGGTTTTTTCTCAACAGAGAATACGCACAGATGGATCTGTAGTTGGAAACCGATTTGAAAGGAAACTCTTAAACTATTACTACTTCTGAATTACTGGATAACCCCAGAGCTCTCTAATAATTCAGTAAAACTTGTGTTTCGATTTGGAACAGTCTCCCGCATTGAAGCGTATCTGGTCCAGTGTTGCGCAGCTCTTACAGAATGATAAAGCCAGATTGTGAGGACATAGAGATCAGTCCCCACTCTCGGCCGTGGCCGAGCTACGTTACTCACATGGTTTTACTTGCCAGGAAAGCTGGGTTTGTGCGCAGGCGCTACCAGGCCAGTCAAGTGCCCCTGTCTTTGTGAATAGACCATCTGTAGAGATCGCAGTGTCCCAGGCTGGGGGGTGTGGGTCCCCGCGGGCTCGGGGCGTCAGTAAGGAGGGACAGTGGGAGAGGGCAGGGCGGGACCTGCTGTTGTTTGCTTTGTGCCGGGTGCCGTGGGGGGTGTTTCACATGATCGTTTTAGGAGGCACTCCCGTGTTGGAGCTGAGAAGCCGGAGTGGGGAGGATCCCGTGACCTGCCCCAGGCCCCCTTGATGGGAACTGGCCGAATCCGGAGAGAAGCCCAGCCGCACCCTCCAGAGCCCTCAGGCAGCTGTCCCCGCTGCTGCGGGCAGGGCGGCGCCGCCAGAGCCTGCGCACAGGGCACGGTCCCCCGGGGAGCGGGGCTGGCGCTGTGCCCCCGCCCTGCCCGCACGAGGGGCGTGCAGTGGGGCGTCCTCCCTCCCACAGCCCCTCCGTTGAGAGCCTGTTTCCCAAAACTGTCCGGGAAGTTCCTTTCCACATTTCAGAATTTTGGAACTTACTTAGAAAGGTCTCTCTTATAGGTGACGTTTTTATTTACCAAGGAATTAAAGTTTCCTAGATACCCAGTGCGCTGTGATTTGGCCATCACACTGCACCCTGGCCTCGGGGCCTTTGGGCCTGACCCCCCCTCTTTGAGTGCCTCCCCACCCTCTAGGGTGACAGGATGTCCCCGGCCTGGCGCCGCCCGCTTCTCCCCGGAGCCCTGGCGAGGGCAGCCCACTCGTGGTTGAGTCTCCTTGGCGTCAGGAGCTGTGTTGATACTGGGAATATTCTTCAGGAGCTGCAACTTAGTTTTTGTTTATATAGCCTTTCGTGGTTTTACAAAGAACTTTTACCTCTGCTTTCTCATCGAAGCTTGTTAACAAATCTGTGATATTAAAACATCAGTGTCTGTTTTCTGGATGAATACACGGCTCTGCTCATTTGTTTACAAATCTGACTTCTCATTTAAGTGCTGTAACGTTCCAGGTGAAAGAACAGGCGGAGCTCTAGGCGCTGGCTAGCAGGGCCTTCTAAATAGCCCAGGCTCCTTGGTGGGGGCGGAAATGTATCGAGCAGTTGTGTCCCCGGAAGGCTCCTTGAGATGTTACATTTGTCGTTCTAGTCAGCTTAGTCAACTCCGGCTTACTAACAGTTCTCAAGAGAATGTAAACAGCGAGGAGAGCCAGAGTTGCCTCAGCGTTTCCTAAAACTCCCTTCTGCGGCGCGGATGTAGAGACAGAGACACAGCGTAGACGTCACCAGATAGAAGCATTTTGAACCAGGACCCAAGTGTTGAGCTTGTAGTAAAATCAAGGGCCGCAAATGAAGTTGAAACGAAAACAGTGCAGTGAACAAAAAGCTAGTGCATGAAAGAAGCGTGCCCTGCGGGCGTGTTCCGTCCGACCCCCTGGGACGCTGCAGTGCCGTCTGTGGGCCGTGCGCTTGGACCCTGACTGAAGCTGACCTGGTTTCGGCATTTGATCCTTTTTTCCCAGGATCCGTGGGGGCGCAGGGGTTACAGGGGGGAGCGCTAGTCGTCCTTGCCAGGCCTCACGGCCACCGCCTGCGGGCGGGAAGCTGCCCGCCCAGCGACTCCAGCCCTCGGCCTCCTGCCCCAGGGCCTGCGAGAGCCTCTGGGCCCAAGCCGCCGGGTTCCCAGCGTTCTCTGTCAGTAGGTAAAGAAAAGCTAGGGAAATCTCTACAGCTCTTACCTCATCGACCTTTTTCCAAGCCCCTTACCTGCCCAGTTCTCCTTACGGAAAGGTCAGCTTGAGATGAGATGCAAGACGGCTCTTAGGGCACGTGACCCACCGCCTTCCCAGGGCACAGCAGCTGAGTAAGCGCTCGGGAAGGTTCAGTCCTTGTCTCCGCCTCCGGCTCCGGCCCTGGCTCCAGGGCGTCCCACTGACTGCTTTTCTAGTTTGCTTGGACCTCGCACACATCGGAACGTGGAAACTCTGCACAAATCTGGAAGCTGTCCACAGAGTTAACAAAATGGGAGCCCATGTGAAACATCCTAGGAAAACAGTTAAAATGGACTGAAACAAATTTGTGAAGGAATGGAGAAAGCCAGGAGTGGTCAGAGCACTTAGGAGTTGTTGAAGAATTCTTTAACGATCAGAGACAGACTTGAGTTTGTTTGCATATGGGGTCTGTCATATGCCTCGTAGGTTCCACGTTGAAAATTTTGAGCCCTTTATGACTATCGGGAAGTTATAGTGCCCTGCAAAGTTAGGAAAGCGTTGATGTTCTCATTCAAATTCTGAAGGTTTGGGGCTGCGTTTTGCTCCTGTTGATTTCTGCCGGAATACAGTTCTCAGGCAGTCGGGTTCCCTCCACCCTTCGTTTCTCACGTGGGCTTTAATCACCTGTAGAGGAGATCATTGAGGACAGGTAGCGCACCAAAAGTTTGCAGCAACAAAGGTATTGAGATGCATTTAGCCAGTGTTGAGAACCTTTCTTGAATTTAGGTGAAACTAAAAGTGAAAACTGACATTCTTCTAGGGGAAAGCAAATAAATCAAGTATTGATTGCTAACTGTAGCTGGGATTTCGTGGTTTATTTTTTTAGAATTCAACTTTAATTTTCCCTCTTCAGAATTGAAATGAGGCTCCGCTCTTCATTGTTTGGTGTTAGACTAATGAATAATTCCAAAGTATTTTCAGTTTTCTTTTCAGTAGCTGCCAGGGTAGGTTTGAACCTTGAAATGGAAGCTGATTAACATTTTTAAGGGTTGTCTTCAGTTTCCAAATTGACACAGATGCTTCTGTCTGATCTTGATGAAATATTTATATAAAACCAGGCCAGGGAGGGCGGGACCGTTTTGTTTCCTGGCCTCATGTGGTTTGCGTTAAGTGTGTGCATTGACTCAGTTTTACCTTGCAGGCTGCTAGGTCGCTGGGCCGGCCGCCGGGTCCTGCCCGCTTCCGTCGGTGCTCGGATGGGCGCGCGGCCCGGCGGAGGGTGGGAGAAGCCTGCGCCCACCGCGTGTGGGCCGGCGCGCGGGCCTTACGGCCTCTTCGCCCGGAGGGCTCCGCGCTCCCGCGCGTACGGGGACCCCGCGGTGGCCGGCCAAACCGCTTGCTGGGCTCTGTCCCCCGGCTCTGGGTCCGCAGGTCTGCAATGGGCCCGAGCAGTTGAATTTCCAAAAAGCAGTGGCGGTGCTGACGCCTGACCTGGGGCCGCGCTTTGAGAAGAACTGTCGCCCACTGCTTCGGTCGCTTATGCTTATGAAGCAAGAACCCTGCCGCCACAACTGCCCCGGGAAGGCCTTTCTTCCTTGTTGGTCTTTATATTGGGCGATTAGGACAAGCTTTGGATTTGCCCTGTTGCTGCTCTTCGGGCCAAAATACACGTTTCCGTGAGTGTCTTTCAGGACAAGCCTGTGAGTCCATTTTGATGAATGAACCGTTCCCTTTGGCCCCCGGTTGTCCCTTTCCCTCTGAGCTGCAGTGGCCCCTCCATCCATGGCTTCACCCCCACGGTGTTAGTTACCCGCGGCCGCTGGCGTCCGGAAAGATCGCGTGGGAGACTCCGCCGGCCTGGCCTCTCCACAGCCCGGCCCGGCCCGCGGAGCAAGAGAGGGTCGCACGCCTTTTACTCCAGGGCACTGTTCAGAACGTTGGTTTCATTGTTAGTTATTTTAGTCTCTTATTGTCCCAGATTATAAATTAAGCTCTGTCATAGGTAGATACATAAAGATTTCTCTCTCTCTATGAAAAGCACCGTGTCCCTGCAGCCGCAGGAGTCCACTGGGACTGCGGGCCATGCGCCCGGCCCAGGGGCTGTGCTTGTTGGCGGCCTTGACCCTGTGCGCCCCGCCCCGGCCCTGGTGCCCGCGCCGAGGAGCGACTCGGAGGCCCAGGGCGGGCTGCCGGGACCCCGCGGAGCCCTTCTGCGGTGGCGGGGCGAGTGTAGCGGCCGCGTGGAGGCCGCCGCGGAGGCGGAGCCTGCTCGTGGGCAGACAAGCATCACGGTGGCGCACTGTCCAGCCCTCGGGTCATGTTTGGGCACCAGTCCTGCTTCGCGCTTGGATCCCAGGAAGGGGTGGGGGTGACGGTGGGGGGCTTGTTTCCTCCTGGTCGCGGCATCCAGCGGTTTTGAATGGTTCGGTTGTTTTGGGGCCATATCTTTCAGTTAAAAGGGAGCTTTAACAAAAATAATGTCTTGTGACCCAACAAATGTCTTTAATATATTTTTGCTAAAAATTTCTTTTTATATGGTTTAAACCCCCTAAAGATAATACTGTCTTCTAACCAAATATCATGGGGTCTTGCAGATTTAGAGATTTTTCCAAGTGTTATTTCTTTGAATGGAATAAATAGAAACGCATCGGCTGGTAGCTCCATGAAGACAGGGACTTTGTTTTGAACGTTGCCGGAGACCGATTTCTTACTGTTTGTGGAACGAGGGAAAGAAAGCAGAGCTCTCAGTTCTGCGCGTACTGCAGTACCTGGGTAACGCCGCCAGGTGGTGCTGTTGCACCACAAAAGGAGAGGTTGCCGTTGGGCTCTTAACACGCGTAGTTTTATGTCAAGCCTATCAAGAAACAAAATGAATCGACTACCTGTGATGCTTATTGCCTGCTCATTTATTTGTCATTTTTTTCATGTGACTAGGCTTTTGATTACCTGATGAGGTCAGGCAGTCAGGTCATGGCCCGAATGAAGAACATTTGGTTCACATGTTTATCAGCTCTTACGTGAGATCGCGTCTGTGAAAACCCAGGGCAGCGCCCAGCTGGCTTCCTTTTCTCTCTTCTGGGCTAAACGCCTTCATTAAATTTCTGTTCATCTTAAAATAATTTGCCAAAAGTTTTAGTAAATTACCAGTGACCTTGAAAGAATAAGACTCTTTTGTGAAACGACTTTACGAGTTGATACCGAGCCTAGATCTTCCTGTATTTTCTCCCCATTGCAAACATTATTTTGCTTCCACGAGGCACGTGTTCTGTGAACGCCCGGCTCTGTCACATGTTTGTGCAGACACGGTCCCTGCGTACAGAGAGGCCCGTGCGCGCTTGGCCGTGGTCCCTCTCTGGCCGGAGAACCAGGGGGCGCCCCCGCGCCGAGGGCTGGGGCCGATTCAGGTGCGCTGTGGTTGAATTGGCTGTTGAATGTTTTGGTTCTGTGATTGTCCTCAGACCGAAGCGAAAGAAGACGGCCCGGGCTGGACCATCCTCCGCGACGACTTCATGATGGGAGCGTCCATGAAGGACTGGGACAAAGAGAGCGACGGGCCCGACGGCGGCGGCCCGGGACCGGGGAGCGACACCGATGCCTGACGCTGCGTGCGCAGGCGGCGCCGTCCGCGCGCAGTCGTTCTGTTTCCCGGAGAGAGACGCTCGCGCCCCGGGAGCGGGGCGGGTAGGGCCCGTGGGTCACGCAGCCGAGGGCCTTCCCGGTTACCAGCTCTGGCGCGTCCCGTTTTCCCGGAAACTTTGCTGAAACTGTGTTTTCAAACTTTGTATGATTTTAAGCATTGTATCAACCTGTCCAGCGAGATGCACACTTTGCCACGATCATTATCGGTGTACATACTGGCCATTGATATTTGGTATTTTGTTTCATTGTTCCCAGTGTTTCTAGAAAGGCAATATTCTTTATAATTAAAATGAACTTCTTGAAGTTAATATTTTTCAACTGACAGTCCTGTGTACTTAGAGTTTTGGGGGAAGGTTTGGTGTTGGTTTTGGTGAGAGCTTTTGAGAAAACTGTAAGTAGTAAAATTTAAAATATATTTCTGATTTGGGGTAATGATTTTATTTCCTAAGATATTCTGGCAAATAAAATGTACAAAACATACCAAATCTTTTATTTTTTTTTATACGCCAAGGAATGTACATAAATAACAACGTAAGATTTAAGTGCAGGGATATTTTTGCGTGAGAGGTTTGCTGGAGTGGAAGTCTCACGTTTCACTTCCGCAGCGAGGCGTAATTTCCAAGGAAGCGCGCTCGCCGAGTTTTGGTCCTTTTTCTCTTTGTGAATACGGAAGTTACCTTCAGTTCTCCTCTGCAGTCTGACCGACTAGTGAAGCAGCAGCGTTTGCCATCGACCTAGGTAGCCTGTGTCAGAATACAGCCTGTGACGAGATTTGGTTCTTTACTGTTGCCTTAAAGACGATTACATTCAGTGAGTGTTAGTATCCCGCTGTTAAATAAAAGGGGAAGACAAGATAAGACTGTAGTGGCCTTCCAAAACTCCCGTCACACTGGGCCGGGATCACGATCTGTGGGGGAATTATTTGATAAATGGGGTCTGTTGCTTTTTTTTTTTGAAGGTTCCATCGCTCTGTCCATCTTTACATCATAGATTCCTCCTGCTGCCCATTTGCGTGTACTTGCATCTGTTACACATGGAAGGAAAATCCTCCCCAAAACTTTGCTGGAGGAAGATGTTTATATTTTCAAACCCTGTGGCGTGTTAGAAGGATTACACAACTGAAGTTAAATGAGTCTGTGACCAGTATTTATCATAAAGGAGCGTGTACACCTACGGTACCAAGTGGTCAAACCTGCAAAGCTCAAACACATTTTTGTGTGTGTTCCAGCTTTTAAACATCAGTGGCTTCCTAAAATACAGGATCGCAGTTTTGTCTATGTGAGGTAAATAAATGTGAGCGAATACCCCTCAGTAGTAACACAGGAGGGCCAAACACCCCACTGTAACTTAACACAGGTGAATGAATACTCACATCATTATAACCTAACACAGGTAATTTTGAAAAAAAAAAATTGTAGTACCTAAAAACCTTTTTCTCCCCCAAATTAAAGATTATGCTTTATTTATTTTTTTGTTACTACTCTCTGCATCATACTAAACCTTTGAGAAAATTCTGAATATTACATTTGGTTGATAGAAACTAGTACATATTGTAACTTCTCATTTACTTAAAAGTTGTTTTTTAAATATACGCATATACTCTTACTGTCCATAGTTTAATTTAGAAAAATTAAGATTTTCAAACTGAAGGTAAGGAAGAGAATATTAACAGATTTCTTTCTGTCTGAAATTATTTCAAAATAAAATTGAGTTGCCACTGTAAAAACATATCACGTTAGAAGCTATAAAGTTTATATGTAATAAATATGTCATAAAGATGGGATGTTTTATATGTACTAGTATTTTTACATTTTGGCTGGAAAATATTTAAGCAAAATGCAGTACTACCATATATGAATATGAATCTAGAGATGAGCATATTATTTTAGAAACGGTATCTTTAGGTGAATGGTTTTTATAATTTAATTGTGTTACCTCTACCCTAAATACCTAAATTCTTCGGACATCAGTTAGATAAATAATCCTGCACCTATTGCATTTTTCCACATTGTCATTGAGTTCTTTCAAGGAGAGAAATAGAAGGAATGGCATTTCTATCCCCTCTCCAATTTATCTAAATATAACAATATTTGGATTTGATTCTGGCAACTATTTAGGGTAATATAGTAATAGAAGTTATTTTTATTTATTTACAAAGAACTATGCAAAATAATAACAAGGTAACTAGTAACTAGATGTTACCTTTCTTATCTGCATACTTAGGTGGCGGGGATGGATGTCTCGGTATTTAGCTTCATTTAATATTGGATATTAATTGTTTTTCAGCATTGAAATCTCAAAAGTCAAAGATAATACCTGTTTTACTGCTCAAGTTGCACACTAAATAGACTGAGCAGTTCAGTGGCCCCAGCTAAGCTGACCCGCATTGGTGCTGGTTTGGGGGCCACATGAGTACAGTACTCAGTTGCAAAGCCATTTGACTACAGTTCATAAATGTCCGACCTAGTTAAACGTATAATAGCCGAGAAGCTCTAAAGTCAAGGTGAAAAGAGAAACAGACAAACTGAAGACATAAATTGTGTTGCTAAGGAGTCCAAGGAATCAAGAGGCTAAGAAAATCTTCAAAAAGCATAAATATCTCTACAGAAATAAGCTGATACTTTTGCGTCTTTTGGACAACTTTCTTCTCCATATGTGTATGAGTTTTGTTATTTTCATTATAGATTTTCATTAATATATGTGTGCACCTCTAGTGAAAGGGTTATATTTTTTCCCACCTTTTCAATGACGGCAGAGCACGATTATTTAGTATGTTGATATCTTTGTGCCACGTGAATTTCACTTTCAAAACAAGCATTTGAAAAATCAGCAGATACGTTTTTTACATGTGTAACTTCTTAAGGAAGTGTGTGTGCGTCTTGGTTCAGGCTGCTGAACCAGAATACCGTAGACTGGAGAACAAACCACGCCTGCACCCTGTGTAGTCCGGGGGGCTGGGACGGTCAGGACCAGGGTGAGGTCGGTCCGATGCCCAGCGAGCATCCTCTCCCTGGTTTGCAGACAGCTCACCTCCGCCGTGTCTCTCCTTAAAGCGGGGGAGAGAGTGCTCACCTCTCTCGGTGTTTCTTCTATAAGGACAAACCTGTCCCGTTTGTGAGGGCTCCACCCCCAAACACCGTCACAGCTGGGACTAGGGTTCCCACCTGTGAATTTGAGGAGACGCACAAGCAATGTATAAAACAGCAAGTTCCACATTTTTAACTTAGCCGTGGAATAACTTCAGGTAGCGGTTATACCACAGGAGGTTGCAGACTTGGGCAACCTTAAATATCTTAATGGAATTTTTTAGTAAAATTATGCGAAGCATTTATCTAGCAGTAATTGAGCACCCATTCCAGGAGCTGCTAGAATGATTTGAGTGACGATGTTAATTATCATAAAAAAAGGGACAGTTTTACTCCTGTGAAGACCAAAAAGTTGCATTTCCTTTCTAAAGTTAAACCCCTGCAGTAAGTTCTCACTGTATAATTTGAATAGTGTGGCAACTTGGATTAACAACGATAGCTTGAGATCCACTAGTAACCTACCATGACTTAAAAACATAGTTGTGTAAGAATGGACTCTTAAGTTGTACGTTAATACAGGTCCTAGGGTAATGAAGCTTGTCCAGAACCGCGAAGAGATTAACTTGTTGATACTCTGTTGACGTGTTGACTTCGTTTTTAGTTGGGAAGACTTTGCAGAGGGGAGCCGGCTCGTTCTGCCCTTTCCGTAAATGGGTCAGTCAGAGCAGCGGGACTGGCCCTCTGTCTGCGCCGCTCGCGAGGGATGGTCGGGAGTCCGGGGGGCCTGCACACGTGACGAGTACGAAGACTATTCGAGGTGAACTGGCCACAGGCACCAACTTTGGAAACAGGAGAGAGAACTCCTCCGTGCCTACAAAAAGCTCTCTCATTCCTTCCCTAGGCAAACAGCAGCCTGACTCTGGGCCAGCTGGACGGATGGACCTGACCAACGCTTGCAGCGGAGGTAGGCCCGTGGGCAAGCCTTTCTGAAGCTTGACTCTGTTAAAGCAGCAGGATCAAGGGGCACCTTTGCAGGTGGGGTGGCTGGTGGTGGAGCCAGGTGACGCCGGGAACAGCCACTGACGGTTAACAAAATACTGAGAGCTTGTAGGGAACTGTGATGTGCCCCCCATTACGCTTGGGGCCCACGTGGCCAGGGGGCTTCCTGACGAAGCGCCCCCAGTTCAGGGCTCCAGTTGTCCGGTCGGTGCCGCCACGCACTTGACATCTTGCACGCGGGGGTTGCAGATTTGGGCAAAAAAAAAAAAAAAAAAAAAAAAAAAAAAGGGCCAAACAGAAAACAGAGCACAATCAGCATTATTATTATTAGCACAGCCCGTTTAAACTGATGAGGTGTTAACCACATTTGTATAAATAACAGTTTCTCTAACCCCTGAATCACTATCCTGCGTGTTTAATGCAATCGGTTCATAAACATCAAAGCAAGAGCACTGAGTCGGCGTGGGGTCAGGAGCAGCGGGGCGCCGGCCGGGGAGACAGCTGAGAGCTGTGTCCTCGTGCGTGGGTGGCCTCGGGGGAGGGAGGGCTCCCAGCTGTTGAGTCGCCCTCCGGCTGCTGGACAGTTGTGTCTTTGCGCCTGCAGATCCCTAAGATGTCAATCTTAGGGAAAAATGTGGCCCTGTCCCCGGACCGCCTGTCAACAGTGGGGTAGCAGCAGCTCCCCAAGGGTGGCGAGGCAGCCACACACAGCCGTTGCCCTGAAATGCTGAGGAGCCCCGAGCATAACAGCAGGGCTGTTTCTACATGATATTTGTCTTTGTACCATAACCCCGGGCGCTCTCAACTGTATCGTGCATACAAAAGTTCAGAGTCCGAAAGGTTCAAGGCAACACTGTCCTTTTCGACAAATGGGAGGAACCCCAGGGAGGAGAGGTGGCGCGGCGTGGCTGCCCTGAGGTTTTGGCCCTTACAGCACCTAAGTGAAATTCTGTTGATATCAGCTGTGTTTAGAAATAGTATTTATTGTTAGATGACAAGGCATAATTTTGGAATCGCAGCTGAGTTCAGAGTTCAGTTTGGACTCTTCTTAGCTATGTGTCCTTGGCAAATGTCTTAAACTTCCTGAGACGAGCACGGAAATCAGGCATGGGGATGCATTTGTGAGCGCACGGTAAGGGTTTGAATAACGTATGCCTATAGCACAGCTCCTGATACGCAGTAGGGCCTCGAGAAATGGTCTGTATTATGCCCCTGGAGGACTGGTGCTGTGTGTGTGGATTTGTTGTTCGTTTCTGATCTATGTCATTGTAAACGTTCCTCTTCAGTATAAAGAAGCTGAAGTCTGGCAGATCGTAGGTAGTTATTGAGGCCCAATCATTCTATTTCTAGAAACCCTCCTTAGGAAAGATCCTAATTAGAGAAACTGATGCTGTGTGAACAGTATTACTGTATTGTTTTTCATAGCAAA